TCTGTGCATACTTAGTGTGCACAACCTGATGAGTTTAGAGATAAGCATAGACCCATGAAATCATCACAATCTACACCATGAACGTGTCAGTTATCTCCAAAAGCTTACCCCTGCCCTCTTATTTTTATCACCATCATTATTATTAATGTGTATGGGGGGGCTGTAAAATAAGAACACTTAACATCTACCTTCTTTGCAAAATTTTAGGCATTGTAATTCAGGCCTATAGTTAACTAAAGGCAGGAGCTCTCTAGGACTTACTCATCCTGTATAACTGAAGATTTGTACTCTTTGATTAATACTTCTCTATTTCTCACTTTCCTCAGCCTCTGGCAGCCACCATTCAACTCTCTACTTCTACGGCTATTTTAGATTCATCATCTACGTGTACCGTGTAGTACTTAGTATTTGTCCTTCTGTATCTGGCTTATTTCACTTAGTATAATGTCCAGCTATCCATGTTGTCACAAATGGCAGAATCCACTTCTTTTTTTAAGGCTGAGTAATATTCCATTGTATGTATATTTCTCATTTTCTTTATTCATTCATCTGTCAAAAGACACTTAGGCTGTTTCCTTATTATGAATAATCCTGCAACGTACCAGTTAACATTCCCACCAACAGTGTATGAGGGTTTCCTTTTCTCCACACCCTCATCAACACTTCCTATCTTTCTTTTTTTTTTTTTTTGATCATAGCCATCTGACAGGTGTGAAGTGATATCTCATTATAGTGCTGATTTGCATTTCCCTGGTGATTAGTGATGTTGAGCACCTTTCCATATAACTGTTGGCCACTTGTAGGTCTTCTTTGGAGAAAAATCTATTCAGTTCCTTTGTTCATTTTTTTAAAATAGGTTATTTGTTGTTGTTTTTGCCAACGAGTTGCAAATATATTTTGAAAATTACCCTTTATCAGATATATGGCTTGCAAATATTTTTTCCCATTCCCAGGTTGCCTTTTCTTTTCTTTTTTTTTTTTTTCTTAATTTTATTATGTTATGTTAGTCACCATACAATACATCATTAGTTTTTGATGTGGTGATCCACGATCAGGTTGCCTTTTCATTGTGTTGATGGCATCCTTTCTTGTGCAAAAGGTTTTTAATCTGATGTAATTTCACTTATCCATTTTTTCTTTTCTTGACTACTTTTGGTGTCATCCAAAAAATCATTGCTAAGGCAACTGTCAAATAGCTTTTCCCCTATGTTTCTCCTCGTAATTTTACTTTCAGGTCTTATGAAATCTTTAGTCCACTTTGAGTTGATTTTTTTGTATAGTCACAAAAACATTGTGTATGGTCCAAAATTAGATAAAGGGTCCAATTGCTTTTTTTATGTGTGGATATCCAGTTTTCCCAACACTAGTTATTAAACAGACTATCCATTTCCCATATGTATTCTTGGTATCCTTGTCAAAGATCAGCTGACCATATATGATGAATCTCTTAATAAAGTTATTCTCTCAATAAAGTTTAATGATTTTCTCTGTAAAGGCATTCTACACCTTCTGTTAGAGTGATAACTAGTTACTGCAAGTACCTGATGTTACTGTGAAGGCTATCTTCTCCTTAATTTAGTTTCAGGGTTGCATCTAGCATAGACATGCTAACTTGCTAAATGCTTCAATTATTCCTAGTAACGTCTATAGATTCTTTACAGTTTTCTCTGCAAATAATTACATTATCTGCAAATAATGATAGATTTGTTGTTCCCTTTATTCCAATTCTCATCACTTCCAATTTTGTTTCTTGTCCTATCACAAGTTTGAAAAAGAATTTACTACAACAGACTTTTTTTTTTTACAACAACAGATTTCTTAGCACAGGACTGTACCATAGTTGCTAAAGTACTAAAGATTTTGTAAGTGTTCTATATTTAACTTCTTCTTACATCTACATATCTTTATATCTGTTTTACCATCATGTTTTACCATCATCATAATTCTTCCTTATTGCTACAGAGACAGTGAACTCAAACATATATACACTGGTTATTAAAGCAATCAAAAGAACTATGTGGTAAGATCAATGGATATATATATATATATCCATGGAGATATATATATCTCCAATCTCTACTAGCCCTGCTCTTGTCCCCCACGTAACATGGTAAGAATCACCTCCACTGGGCTCTTGAGGAAGTGTATCAAGAAGTGCTCCATATAAAAATGATTACTTTCAAAAAAAAAAAAAAAGCTTTAGTCCCAAATTTGATTTGGGATAATCATCTCTGGCCTTACTAAGATACACTAGGTTAAGTCAGAACTCCCTTCAGGTTCTTGCTAAGGGACAGGGGTCATAGCTTGACTGGCTATGAGAACTCTGTGGATAACGGTATGAGAATGTCAACCACTATAGGCAACATGGTTTGTGATAGAAATGACTCCTGATTAGTTAAGTGCATATGGGCTGGGAGAATTACATACACATCTAAGTGAGTCCTGATGAAGAGGAATGCGTGAGGCTGCATTCCACGTGCTCAAGTCCCTCTTCTCTGTCCCTCCGAGCAGACTGGCTCCAAGGATAGCCTTTGCGGTACTTTAGCAACAACAGGGCACCCCATGGCTTTTCACACTTGCTCTCCTGTGCCCCGTGGTCTCGAGGGCTGTCACTCAGCAGTGACGGGGAAACTAAGGAGCCCGTCTCAAGACCTCCCATTAGTTACACCCACAGCAGGCCCATCGAATTTCTTATTTTTCAGTAAGCTGTGTAAAGTTAATTGAGAGGGAAATGGAAAATTCCACTCCAAAAAGCATTTTCAAGTCACAGGCCTGGATAAACTCCATTTTACGGAAGAAGATTTAGAATTATGAGTGGCCTCTATAAAGGTAATTGCGAATGATCATGGCTATGTGAAAATAATAACCTGCCTTGGAGACCAAAAAGATACCTCCCCAGCACCTCCAACAAAAGCCCAACAATATGTACCATAAAATTTTCAGGCAATTCATCAGAATGCTATATTAACTCTATAATAGAGGTACCAAAATAAGCTTCAAGTCATTTTTTTAAATCTTAAAAATTCTGTGAGGTGTAAAGTCAAAAACGTTGTTTATAAGACTGTACCAGACAGACTCGCTCCGAGTCTATTTCACCTCCACGATGTGACTGACTGGTCTTTGCAACAGCGCTGCAAGCATTAAAATTTGTCATGTGCTTAAATAGTATGGATGGGCATTCCACGCTGTTTATAATTCTAACATCATCCTCTGAATCTACATGGCATAAATTAAGCAAACAGAACTCACACAGTCATTTCCTTCCAATGAAGGAGGCACAGTATACAACAATTTTTAAATAACAACCAATTAAAAAAATAAAAGCTCAGGTCACATCTATCAATATAGACAGAACCCACAGAAAAAGCCCCTCTCCCACCTTCCCCCGATACATTAACACTCATAAAGACAATCCCACAGAAAGGGAGACCGGTGATAGGTTGGTAGAGGGCCAGTTTTACCACCCAGAGATACGGGTGTGCAAAACAGAAATTAAGTTATAAAAATGTGGAATTCTGGGGTGCCTGGGTGGCTCAGTCAGTTAAGTGGCTGCCTTCGGCTCAGGTCATGATCTCGGGGTCCTGGGATAGAGCCCCATATCAAGTTCCCTGCTTACTAGGGAGTCTGCTTCTCCCTCTCCCCCTACACCCCTACTCATGCTCTCTCTCTCTCTCAGATAAATACAATCCTTTAAAAAAATGTAGAATTCCTATCACTTTTGCAAATCTGCATTTGAGAAATGATGGTCATACCTGTTTACAAGCTTATTGAATGAATGAATATAGAACTTAACACAAATAATGAGGGGGCTAACTTTTTGAGGATCAGTGATTTTTTTTTTTAAGATTTTATTCATCCATTTGAGAAAGAGAGAGAGCACGCATGAGCAGGGGGAGGGGCATAAAGAGGGGAGAAGCAGACTCCCTGCTGAGCAAGGAACGGACATGAATGATGTGTACCTGGGGCTCGTGGGGCTTCATGGACCCCAGGACCACGACCTGAGCCAATCAAAATCAAGAGTTGGTCGCTTAACCAACTGAGCCACCCAAGCACCCCTCCAAAAGCCATTTTGAAAAAAAAATGTGTTAGTTCATTTTAAGATGAGATATTTATATAATATTTTACTAATTCTTTGTACTGTATTTTTGTACTCTCTTGTTTTCATGCTCTAGAGCAACACCATCGAATACAACTTCCTGTGATGCTGTAAGTGTTCTCCGTCTGTGCTGTTCAAGAGGGCCACCATTAGCCACAGGTGGGCACTACGTACTTGAAATGGAACAAGTGCCGCTAGGAAACTCAATTTTAGCAGTATTTCATTTCAACTAATGTGAATTCAAATAACCCCACGTGGCCAGTGGCCACCTTCCTGGAAGTGCGGCTCTAATGAATAAATGCTCTTCCATTTTTCATTTGTTTCACGAAGGGCTTTCAACTTCCCTTTACAACCTTGCTCAAGGTCATCTCAGAGCCCTGCGTCGTGCTTCTTTACAATTTAGAGTTTCTCTACTAAATAGAAAGCATTCCAGTATTGACGTCCCTGGGTATACTGTAACCTACCCAAAAATAGGAGAATGTTTTATTAATCTCTGTCATCTCAGCATCCGGCAGAGGGCCTGGCCTGTGGTGGGTTCTCATTACATTTTTGTGAAATGAATGAACAGAAAGAAGCCATCAGCGGCTGATTATACAGGGAAGTTCTAAGTGAAAATTTCACGTTTGTGGAAAACTATCCTTTTGCCTGCCATTTATTTTCTTATTCACATGCATAAAAGCCATTTCTACCTTATTGAAATCCTAACTAAGTAGTAGAGGTGGTGTTTCTGCTAAACTAATTTCAAGGGGATCTGATCAAATGAGCCATATGGCAACCTTGCAATTTACAGCTGCAACTCGTCTTCTCGTTCACCCTCAAGGATGGCTGGTTATGAAGCATGAGAGCAAACACTCGCCCATTCCTGCTGCAGACCTGAAAGCAACACCAAATGCAGAACACTTACCATCACCAACATCAAAGTCCTTGAACGCCAGTTCTGAGCCCGAATCATCAAGAAGGATTTCGCCATTCAGCGTGAACATCATGGTGTGCTCTGTCATGTCAACCATGCACCCCACCACATCGCCTGCTTGCCAAGAGCGCCCATAGTGCTCATTACCCTGGTGCCACCGCTGGGCCTAGGGACAGAAGAGTCACTTGTCACAGGAAAAGCCAGGAGAAGAGGACCCACCCACCAACCCACCACTGCTGGCATGACTCACAGCAGCTCCTTCTGCGAACGCAGCAGGAGGAAGGACTGAGTCCTACCGCACGCATCAGTGTGGCGTGATGCCCTAGCTGACGTGGAGGTGTCTGGGAATTCTGAATCCCTCATACTAACATTGTCTGTTATTGAATCTTGAGGAAAGACCCAAATGCTATTTCATGATTTTGAGAAACGATTAATTTAAAAATCTAACCCAACATACTTTCTATTAAAAAAACAAAACCCTCTAAGTCTTTAGAAATGAATTTTTTGCACTAAAACGAATGTTTCCCAGGATATGGGTCATTTTTCTCTATTTCCCAAAATACAAAGAACTGTGAGTAGAGAATGAAGCTGAGAACTTATCATTGGAAATGACATTCTAATTTTCATCTATTTCAAAATACAATTCCATTCGTTGGAACCAATGCCACGGATACATTAACAGAACAGGAATCTTGAAACATTTCAGTATATACTAAAACCAAAAAAGCTTCACATCAAACCTAAAAGATATTTACTGAAATAATGAGTCAAAAATTAAATACACACGCCAACAATGTCTTGTATACATAGGTGAAATCACATAAATACATCTCAAACATAGTTTTGATAATGTGACTTTTGAATCTCTAAGTATAGTCCACTGATTTATGGGTACAAAATTAGTTATATTATTTTGTCAGATAAATCTTTTCATTTTTCCTCATAAGAACTGCCTCCACTGTGAATTGGTATGTAAGGGGGGAGAGTCACCAATGCAAAGCAGTGATATGATTATTCCCAAGCACAATACATTGTACTTTTTAAAAATCTATTCCAGTGAATTAGGTATCCAAAGATGTTAAATTTTCCATATGAATAAAAAACACTTTCAGGAAATGTGGTGTTTCAAAACAAAGTGGGTCAGTTGTTCCAGAAGATACAATATTAACTTCTAGCCTAGAAACGCTTTCTCACACATGCATACCTCAGTACATGAGATATGTATAAATGTCAAATCTCTTCATGATTGCTTATTTATTCTAATTTTCCTTTTTTAATTAAAAATAACTTTTCCCTTCATATGAGAAGGAATGCAAATTCACAAAGAAAATAAGAAAATAAGATAAAGGAATAAAATATAATTTTATCAATCAAAAATGGCTATCATTATCCTACTGTAGATAGATTCATATATACATATTTTTTATTTTAAAATATTTTTACACATAAAATAATTTTTAAACATTTATATAATGCCTAAGTAAATAATGAACAAGCACCTGACCAGCTTCCATCCACCATAAGAAAAATTACTAATAATATATACAATGGAATATTATGCAGCCATCAAAAGGAATGAGATCTTGCCATTTGCAATGACATGGATAGAACTGGAGGGTATTATGCTGAGCGAAATAAGTCAATCAGAAAATGAAAACTTTTTGTGATTTTAAACAACACTGTCTTAAGCATTCTCATGGCTATTAAATGCGTACACCTACCATTATTGCTTGAGGATAAATTCCTTCTATGGAATTGCTGCGTCAAAGCGTATGCATTTTTAATTAGCATATGCATTTTTAACACTCCTGACAAAGATGATTCATTTTTTTGATAACAACGGAGAAGCAATGTTTTACTTCTTGAATTTCACTGGGGGGTGTGGGGGAGGGGGTTGTGTGGAGGGGAATGTTTTGAGATCACAAGGACCAGGAGCCTTTTTTTCCAGGTTTGTGCTCCAGAAAATCCTAATGTTGCTGCCCTCCCCAAAGGAGTGACGGTGATGGAGGCACACATAGACGTACATGCCCCGGGAGACAGCAGCCTACAAAATCGGGAGCCTACAAACTTCAGCGTCTGGTGCTCAGCAAAGTCTACTCACCTTGAAGCCATCAAAAGCAAAGGCACGTTCGTCAGAGCCAAGCTCTTGATCAGGCTGACAGCCTGGCCTGCTCCAGCCAACCCTCATGTCGCCCGCAGTGACTGCCTCGAACTCAAAATACCACCTTCCTGCCTTGACAGCGTAGGTCTTCTCAGCACGGAAGATTCGGAACCGCTCCCCGGTGCCACTACACACTTCCGCTCTGGCAGCTGTGAAGGTAAAGAGATCCGAGGGATCAATGGGTGGGAAACTGAAAGAGGAGGGAGGACGTCCCATAACATCTGTAATTAAAGTTAACAGGGATGATGGTAACCATACGGTCTTTCTTACCCAGGCTCACGTTTTATGAAGTGTTTCCATGCACATGGATCAGCCACCATCCCATGGAACCAGACTGGAGAAAGGGAAAGCACAAGGGCCCCCACTGGAGAAACTGGTTGTCAAACCTCAGCAACATCGCAGGGGTGGGCAGTGCTTCCCCCGTTAGTCCTGGGTTCAGGAGGGAACTCTGTGCAGGGGAAAGCCTCCCAGCCTCTTGGTGGTTTGGCAGTGGAATCTGAGATGAACTTGAGGTCATGGATGGGAAAAAGTCAATAAAAGAGACCTGAACTGTTCTGCCCAAGAAATGAATAGACATTTGGGGGTGAGGGAGAAGAAGGAAGAAGCAGCCAGAAGGTGAGAAGGAGAGAGAAAGCAATAAGGTAAAGAGATAAATAGCAGAGAAGGGTAACCATTGACTAATTTCCCAGACAGGATGGCTAAGAGCAAAGCTCTGCTAATATCTCACACCTTCATCATAATGTGCTACACATACAAATGTTGTGTTTAAGTTTTGAGGAAAAAGAAAAGGGCCAAGTCCAACATCAAGGATCAGTGTGGTGCAAAGGTGGGGGGGCATATGAATATGTAAAAATAAGATGCACATGGATGGAAAATGCCAGGAATACAAAACCTCAGACCAAGGGGCCTGGAGCCAGGACAGCCATGAGAACCTAAGTCCTTAGAAAATCACAGGGCATGAGGACAAGGGTCCACTGAGTTGATATGTCAAAGGATAAACTGTCAGCTCAGCTAAGTTCTGGGTTAGATAGAAGACAACATTTAAGTGACGTTGACCAAAGTCACACAACTAACAAATGGAAGAATTCCAGAGCTGCCCAATGCTACAGCCCCTGTTCTTTCCATTCTGCCTCCAAAAGTAGGCACAGAATCAACAGGTCCTGGTTAAATATTAGTTCTCATCTGTTTTCCTTTCAGGAGATGGGAACGACCTTATAAATAATAGAAGTTTAATATCAGCTTAACCATGATTTGATATGAACAAACAAGAACTATAAAAATAATTCAAATAAGCTTTCAAGGGTGCCAATAAACACACAGCCAGATCATCTACTGAAGATTAGACTGGCATCAAGAAACAATGGACTAAGATGTTTCTATTGATTGCAGGACATACAGGTGAACTGTATCTCTTGCTAAATCTTTCAAAAGCTGGATTAAGCTTAAGCTTCTGAATAGGCAATACTTTGTTGTTCCATCTCCCCCCCCAACTTACACACCCATGCACACCCCTAACAACCTAGTCTGCTCCAAGCAACTGTCATGTCTCTAGCAGTGACAGCCTCCAATTCAAAATGCCAACTTGCATGGGTGCTCACACACACACACACACACACACATCATGCAATACATTCAAACATCTCGCTGAAAAATGCACTAATAGTTTAAAAATAAGACATTCATAATAGTATATGGAGCATGCTGCATGTACAAAATCCTCTGAAGAGGAAAAAGTTTGCTTCTAATACATTCAAGTTGGGGGTGGACAGGAACCTGAATGAGAAACATCTCTATGGTGAAGGATAAAAAACTCTCATGTCTGTTACTTAGTAACAATGATTTTTGGGAGATAGGAGAGCAAACTGCTTTTTGAGGAAAAAAATATGATCAGATTTTATGATACTTAGAGGCGGTTACTGCAATTAAGAAAATAGCCCAGGGGCACCTGGCTGGCTGTCGGTAAAGCATGCAATGCTTGATCTCAATGTTATGAGTTCGAGCCCCACAGTGGGTGTGGAGCCTACTTAAAAAAAAATTCTAAATATTGCAATAGTAAAAAAAGAAGTCAAATTTTCAGATGTAATATTTCCTCAAGTAACGGCACACTGATCCATTACTTCCTTAAGTCATGGTTGCAACCTTCCCTGAATTACTATAAGGCATACAGAATATTGAACCATGATCCACACGGACATTTGGAAGTTACTTTTCATGAAAGAAAAAAGTTCCCGTGTAGTTATCCATATTTTTAATTATGTCAACATTTGCAGATAAAATCATACACTCTATTCTAGTATGTACTAATAAATTAAACTCCCAATTTTCTAAGGATAAAATATTCTGTTCTTTAGAAAACTAAAATATTAAAAAAAACTCACAAGTTCTTTTTTCCCTTTTTATGTTTCCAGGCCATTGGACCCCACTCACATGCACAGTGTTTTCAAGGAAAGCAAACAAATTTTAATATGAGCTTACATCAAGTATGTTGGAAGGCAAATTTGGTATAAAAATGTAACAGATCATTTCCTTAAAAAGCCACTACAAATTTCTCTTGGTAATAAGATTTACCAAGAAACATCTCTACATACAGATGAAATAGGGGGCAGCATATGAAAAATGTGTGGCAATCACAGGCACCAATGCAGAATTTCTTGGTCTTGGTATTCTTTTTTCCTGACCTTAGCTGCCGCATTATTCTTACACTCATTGATGAGACTCGACCTGAACTGGAAGTGCACATGCTATTCATAGACACCATTATGCAAGGGACTTGTAACTTCTATGGATCTTCCTCCAAACGTCTGTATGATTCATGGTTCCTATTCTATATTTTTTACATTAGTTTAGGGCAGCTTACAACCATGGTTGCAAGAAGCAACAGTTCAGCATTCTATTTCTTGATAAAATACTAACATTAAATGGAAATCTGGATCTATGGAAGTTAAAAAAAAAAAGATCCCAGGCAATCTGTAACAATTTCTTTTGCATACCCCGTGGCATCGATCATCTGGACACAAAGTAGGTGTTCTTTAAGTAGCTGTGAGATTGTATCTAGGAACAAAGACTTTCCTGAGCCTGGACACAGGTGCCCAGGCAAATACCTAACGGGCAGTGTTAGTCTCAAAGGCATAGAGCTCTCCCCCCAAATATGTAATTCTTACGCTTTCCTTAAACACTATACATTCATATAAGTTTGGTAGGTGATTCTAGCTCATGTAAGTATGTATAGATGATTTTCTTATATTGTTATAATGAACATAATAATAACTGACATTAAAAAAATGAACCATTAGCCCATGTATTCCTGGTGAATTTTATCAAGGATATTGATACTCAAAGAAGAAATTCAGAAATTGTGCCTTTAACAAACCACCTCAAGATAAATGGTAAGACCTGATAAAATCCTGTGTTCCCAGGACCCCAGGGATCCTGGCACAAAGAGGGCACACACCAATGACTGACCAAATAGGACCTAAAGCATCCATACATGCTCTACTCCAAACCCTACTTTTAAAAGATACTTACCACTAGGGGGCAGTCAAGATCTAATTATGTATTAAAAAATGTAAGTTACTTAGAATAAGCTATAAAGGCAGGCAGGCCAGTCTCTTTAAAAATTTTATACATGTCTAAAAAAATTTCTACACATATCCTTCAGGTGTGTTTACACATAACAATTTTAAAAATTATTGATACTAACCAGTCATCCTTTCAACTTCCTGGTATTATTTCTAATAAAACAATTCAAACTTTGATAAAACCTTGTGGGAAGAATAACTTAGTGTTTCAAATGTCTTAAAATGATATTTAGAACAATACTCCAAAGGTAGTATGTTTCACATACTGAGTTCATATTCAAGGTGTCATATGTAAGCATTCTGCTGATGAATAGAAAACAAATTTAACCCAACCGTGATTTAAGTACATAGGGTTAGATTCAATTTTATCAAAATTTTTATGCCCTTAACTTTTTTTTAATGTCAGCAAGGGCAACACAGCCAGTTATGTTTTTAATCTTATCTCAGTGATCACCAGATTTATTTTGCTTTATTCCATAAAATCTCTCCCATCTATCTTTTCATTTCCATGTTCACCATCCTTGTTCTGAAAATCACAAATTTTCCAAAGCTTCCCAACTGGTCTCTCTATCTCCGAGCACTCTCCCCCTCCAATCTGTTCCTTCCCACTGTTGCCATAGTTATATTGCTATTGTAAACTGTGATCACACATCAAGCTTTTGCTTTAAAACTTCCTGAGGCTAGAATTCCTTGCACAAATTTATCCACATTTCTTAGCTGGGCTTTCAAGATATTCCATATTTTGTCCTAATCCTTCACCTTCAACCAGTAGTGTTTTCTCCCCACTTGTAGCTCATAATTTTGCCCAACGAGACACTACCAATCATCCCTCAACTCTTACTATACTTAATTACATCAGATATAATTTCCCTCTGGCAGAAATGCTCTCCTCATCTACTCTCTACTTGACATTTTGATCCCTTCCACACCCAACTCAGACGTCATTTTCTCCCCTTATTGATTCCTTCAATTAGAAAATAAATCTTTCTTATGTATTTTCCATAAAGAACAGTCAAACCCCGGGGTGCCTGGGTGGCTCAGTCGTTAAGCATCTGCCTTCGGCTCAGGTCATGGTCCCAGGGTCCTGGGATCGAGCCCCACATCGGGCTCTCCACTCAGCGGGAAGCCTGCTTCTCCCTCTCACACTCCCCCTGCTTATGTTCCCTCTCTCGCTGTGTCTCTCTCTGTCAAATAGATAAAATCTTTAAAAAAAAAAAAAAAAGAACAGTCAAATCCCTACTATGAAGAAGGCATTCTATCGTATACGGGGACACAGTGGTAGACAAGAAACAGGATCTCAGCCTTCACCGTGGAGTATACTACACTAGCCCACCTCTTGCCCATGGAACTTCGGTGAGACAAACTTGCCCACCAACAATCAATGGTTCTCTCTAAATTCCCAACTTTCAGATACCATGCCATCCTCTGATCACCACCTTTTCCTTCTAGTTTCCTCACTTCCTGCACAAACACATTCTCTCCTTGAATACATTAACTTCTTCCTAGGCTTCCCTTATCTAGATAGCCTTTGATGTCTTCGGCCCTATTTCTCTTCTCCTTATTTGCTGTCA